TATCCGCTCTGTTCGATTATCGACTATGTTCGATTATCGACTATGTTCGATTATCCGCTCTGTTCGATTATCCGCTCTGTTCGATTATCGACTCTGTTCGATTATCCGCTCTGTTCGATTATCCGCTCTGTTCGATTATCGACTCTGTTCGACTACCCACTCTCTTTTACGAGGTGCAGGAAGAGACACATGCGTGCGCGCGGGAGTACCTGGCGCTGCTCTGCTGCGATCGCTGCAGGAAACGAGACGAGATGCTCAGCCTGTGGTCGGCGGCATCGGTGGCGGAGACGAGGCTCTCCATGCGACGCTCCATCTTGTCGAGCGACTGTCCGAACTTCTCCTGTGACGTGAGCAGGTTCGACACGCCGCCGCCGCCGCCGCCGCCGCCGCCGCTCTCGTACTGGCTTTTGATGAACTTCTCCTTGTCCATGTGATCCTGCAGGAAGGCGCATGCGGTTAGAACAAACCGCAACTCCCACATCAGTTGCACTCCTCCTCCTCATCCTCCCGGTCCTCCTCCTACTCCTCCTTATCCTCCTCCACCTCGTCCTTCTCTTCCTCCTCCTCCTCATCCCCTTCCCTCTCCTCCTCCTCCTCCTCCTTCTCCTCCACCTCTTCCTCCCTCTCCCCCTCCTGCTCCGTCGCCTCCCTACCTTCTTCTCCTGCTCATCCCTCCCCTCCCCCTCCTCCTCCTCCACCCCTTCCTCCCTCTCCCTCTCCTCCTCCTCCTCCTCCTCCTCCCTACCTTCTCGAGGTGGGCGCCGAAGAACTGTTTGTTGACCTTGGAGGGTGTTGTGGGTATCGAGGCGCTCGTCACCGTGCTGCTGCTGTCCTCGCCGACGTCCGTCGACTCGCCCTGATCCGTCGTCGTCTCCTCGTCCGACGGCGACTCCGTGTCTGCGCGAGAGACAGACGCGTGCGTATGAGACGCGAGCGCATGAGACGCGTGTGAGGCGCGAGTGCATGAGATGGGAGAGACAGACGCGTGCGCATGAAACGCGAGCGCATGAGACAGATGCGAGCGCATGAGACGCGAGCGCATGAGACAGATGCGAGCGCATGAGACGCGAGCGCATGAGACAGATGCGAGCGCATGAGACGCGAGCGCATG